ATGTGGCTACAATTACCCTGAATCCTAAACCAAACAAAGATGCAACAAAGAAAGAGAATGACAGACTGATCTCCCTCATGAACATTGATGCAAAAATACTCAATAAAATACTGGCAAATAGACTCCAAAAACACATCAAAACAATTATCCACCATGATCAAGTAGGCTTCATCCCAGGGATGCAAGGGTGGTTCAACATATGAAAGTCTGTCAGTGTAATACACCATATAAACAAACTCAAAGAAAAAAACCACATGATCATCTCACTAGATGCTGTAAAGGCCTTTGACAAAATCCAACACCCTTCATGATAAAGGTCTTGGAGAGATCAGGAATACAGGGAACATACCTAAACATGATAAAGGCAACAAGCAAGCCAACAGCCAACATCAAATTAAATGGAGAGAAACTCAAAGAAATTCCACTAAAATCAGGAACAAGGCAAGGCTGTCCCTTCTCCCCATACTTATTCAATATAGTACTTAAAGTTCTAGCCAGAGCAATAAGACAACATAAGGAGATTAAGGGGATACAAATTGGAAAGGAAGAAGTCAAGGTTTCCCTATTTGCAGATGACATGAGTGACCCCAAAAATTTGACGAAGGAACTGATACAGCTTATAAACACCTTCAGCAATATATCAGGATACAAGATCAACTCAAAATATCAGTAGCCCTCCTATATACAATTGACAAACAGGCTGAGAAAGAAATCAGAGATACATCACACTTTACAATAGCCACAAATAATATAAAATACTTAGGAGTAACTCTAAGTAAGCAAGTGAAGGACCTATATGACAAGAAATTTAAGTCCCTGAAAAAAGAAATTGAAGATGATGTCAGAAAATGCTGACATGATCTCCCATGCTCATGGATAGGCAGGATTAACATAGTAAAAATGGCAATCTTACCAAAAGCAATCTACAGATTCAATGCAATCCCCACCAAAATACCAACACAATTCTTCACAGACCTGGAAAGAATAATACTCAACTTCATATGGAAAAACAAAAAACCCAGGATAGCTAAATGAATCCTGTACAATAAAACAACCTCTGGATCCCTGACCTCAAGCTCTACTATAGAACTACAGTAATAAAAAACAGCTTGGTACTGGTATAAAAACCAACATGTGGACCAGTGGAATCGAATTCAAGACCCTGACATTAATCCGCACACATATGAACATATAATTTTTGACAAAGAAGCCAAAAGTGGACAATGGAAAAAAGAAAGCATCTTCAACAAATGGTGCTGGCATAACTGGATGTCAATGTGTAGAAGGCTGCAAATAGATCCATATCTATCACTGTGCACAAAACTTAAGTCCAAGTGGATCAAAGACCTCAACATAAATCCAGTTACTCTGAACCTGATAGAAGAGAAAGTAGGAAGTAGTCTTGAACGCATTGGAATAGGAGATAACTTCCTAAATATAACACCAGTAGCACAGACACTGAGAGAAACAATCAATCAATGGGACCTCTTGAAACTGAGAAGCTTTTGTAAGCAAAGGACACAGTCAACAAGACAAAGTGACAGCCTACAGAATGGGAAAAAGTCTTCACCAACCCCATATCTGACAGAGGGCTGATATCCAGAATATATAAAGAACTCAAGAAATTAGACATCAAAATGCCCAACAGTCCAATTAAGAAATGGGCTATATTGCCGGGCGGTGGTGGCGCACGCCTTTAATCCCAGCACTCGGGAGGCAGAGCCAGGCGGATCTCTATGAGTTCGAGGCCAGCCTGGACTACCAAGTGAGTTCCAGGAAAGGCGCAAAGCTACACAGAGAAACCCTGTCTCGAAAAACCAAAAAAAAAAAAAAAAAAAAAAAAGAAATGGGCTATAGAATTAAACAGAGAATTCTCAACAGAGGAAGTTCAAATGGCTGAAAGACATTTAAGGAATTGCTCAACATCCCTAATCATCAGGGAAATGCAAATCAAAATGACTGTTAGATACCACCTTATGCCTGTCAGAATGGCTAAGATCAAAACCACTGAAGACACCTTATGTTGGAGAGGATGTGGAGCAAGGGGAACTCTCCTCCACTGCTGGTGGGAATGGAAGCCTATACAACCACTTTGGAAATCAATATGGTGCTTTCTTAGAAAATTGGGAATCAATCTACCTCTAGACCCAGCTATACCACTCTTGGGCATGTACCCAAGGAATGCTCAATCATACCACAAGGGCACTTGCTCAGCTATGTTCATAGCAGCATTTTTTGTAATAGCCAGCACCTGGAAACAACCTAGATGCCCTTCAACTGAAGAATGGATAAATAAAATGTGGTACATATACACAGTGGAGTACTACTACTCAGCAGAGAAAAACAATGACATCATGAGGTTTGCAGGCAAATGGATGGATCTAGAAAAAATCATCCTGAGTGAGGTAACCCTGACTCAGAAAGACAAACATGGTTGTACTCACTCATAGGAGGATACAAGATGTAAAACAACGATGACTAGACTACTACTCACAACTCCAGGGAGGCTACCTAGAAAACAGGACCCTAAGAAAGCCACAGGGATCACCCAATGACAGAGAAATGGATACGATCTACATGAACAACCTGGACGTGAGTGGGGGTAAAGAAGGGCAAGGGTCGAGGGAAAGAGAGCTTAGGGGAGCAGGAGATCCCAGCTGGATTGAGAACAGAGAGGGAGAACAAGGAATAAGAGACCATGATAAATGAAGACCACATGAGAGTAGGAAGAAGCAAAGTGCTAGAGAGGTCCACAGAAATCCACAAAGATACCTCCACAATAGACTACTGGCAATGGTCCAGAGACAGCCCGAACTGACCTACTCTGGTGATAGGATGGCCAAACACCCTAACTGTCATGCTAGAAATCTCATACAATGACTGAGGGAAGCGGATGCAAAGATCCATGGTCAGGCCCTAGGTGGAGCTCCAGGAGTCCAATTGGCGTGAAAGAGGAGGGATTGTTTAAGGAAGAGTTATTGAGACCAAGATTGGAAAAAGCACATGGACAAATAGCCAAACGAATGGAAACACATGAACTATGAACCAATAGCTGAGGAGCCCCCAACTGGTCAGGCCCTCTGCATTAGTGAGACAGTTGATTAGCTTGAACTGTTTGGGAGGCATCCAGGCAGTGGGACCAGGACTTGGCCTCAGTGCATGAGCTGGCTGTTTGGAACCTGGGCCTTATGCAGGGACACTTGGCTCAGCCTGTTAGGAGGGGACTGGACCTGCCTGGACTGAATCTACCAGGTTGAGCTGAATCCCCAGGGAAGTCTTTGCCCTGGAGGAGATGGGAATGGCGGGTGGGTTGGGGGGAAGGTGGGGAGGGGAGGACAGGGGAATCCATGGCTGATATGTAAAATTAAATTAAATTATATAAAATAAATATATAAATAAATAAACATAGCCTGTATATGTGTGTGTGTGTTAAGAAAAATCCTGAATTTTGCAGTTTAAATTTCCTTCTTGATCCCTATTTTTAAAACATTTGTTTTTGAGTGCTGTAGTTTAGGCAATAATATTTCGGTAAACGTGAATTTATACTTTATCTTGAAAGGCAATTATGAGAGAGAAAAGAACTCTCAGCACAAAAACCTGCAAATAATTGCTATACATATAATGGCAGGTGGTGTGAATTTTACATAAAACACATTTCAAGAGTCTATAAAATAAACCCGAGTCTGTGTAATGATCTATTCTAGTCACACTAGTGTTTTACAGATTTATTCATATATGAGAAACAGATACATTAACAGAACACTAAGGACACATTGAAAGAACGTGTAAGAGATTTCTATTAAATAATGGGTAGTAAGATTTATTGGCACAAACTGTTTAAATAATTCATAAGATGAATTGCATTGTATATTTCACTTAGTTTTTATTTTGTAAAAATATTCATTTATTAAAGAAAATTTTAGAAAAATGAGCTCATAGCATACATATTTTGATATGAGGATTTTTGAGAAATTGAAGTCCATTTTTACACCTAAAAAAGAAATACATGTGAACTCAAAGCTTTTCCCCTATGAGATGGAATTTCCCCATGTACCTATATATTATAGAAGATTATGTGTAGAATATTATGTATGTAGCAAGCAATTATGTAGCATAGTTTAGTGTCTTCAAACTCTCCATTATCTTGCTTCAATTTATTGAATGCTGTGATTCTAGGTGGGTGCCACCACATCAACCTCAAAGCAGAGTTTTAAACAGCTAATGATGTGTTGTTCATTTTTAAACACATGTGATGAACAAATTTTAGTTATTCTTTGAGAATTTCATTCATGCATACAAATTATTTGGTCATAGTCACATCATTCATTCTTCCCTCCGGTGCCTTCCAGATCCGCTCCATGCCACCTATTTCACGGCATTAAAAAAGACCAAACCACTGAGTCAAATTAGTGCTGTTCAAACAAACATGGTTATGGGGACATCTATCAGAGCATGGCCAATCTACCAAGGACCAAACCTCTGAAGAAAACTGATTCTGTTTCCCTTATAGCAATTAACTGTCGGTAGCCCCTCAGCTAGGGGTAGGATATAATGTTCCCCCCTCCGTCAATGCTGGAGTGCTGACTGGCTTGGTCCTGTACTTTAATATATACAATTAATAAACAGGAAAATGGTCAGTAGCTAATAATTGTTTAAAAAATCCCTTTAGTATTTATTTTTAAACTAAACTAACAGGTTGATGACTTACTGATTTATGTGTATATCATACACATAGAGAAGAAATCTGATTCCACTCAGTGGGACTAAACTGTAATCATAAGGAGCCTGGGCTTAGATGGGGCAGGGAGTGAGGGCTTACAAATAAATTTCCCTCTTAATGATACAAAGGCAACATGGTGGAGTAGTACCTTCCTAAAATAGATGAGAGTCAACACCATTTTCACTCATGATTCTACATGTTCAGAAAGAACAACATTCAAAGAAGAGGAAACATTTGGTGGATTTATTTTCTAGCCGCAATATAACAGAAACATTAGGTGGAGATTTTCTTCACTGGGTGAAAGTTGGCACTATGATCTTTTAGCTGTCATTTTCTCATTCATGGGAACAAAGTCATCCAGATGTCTTCCTTCTCAGCTGTGGGGCCTGCATAGTGAGAGGGGGCCACTGAGTGTACTTCTTGAAATCCTTATCTTGCCACAGTCCTCTCTCTGTCTTGTTTCTTCCTGAACACCATGAGGTGAGCAGTTTTGGTATGCCATGGCCTTTGCTATTTAGCTTTACCGTAGGCCCATGTATTGGAGCAATACAATGAAGGACTGATACCAGGATCCACATCAATATTTCCCCTTTGGATCGTTCCCTGGAAGTGTAAGTCACAATGATGAGAACTAAGCAAGTTCCTAAAGCACATGTTGTACAAAGGATACTCAGCTTCTTCATCCTCTATGGTCCTTTCATCTACTCATCTGTCTTGTCCATCCACACTGAGGCGATAAATGCATTGATGAAAACCATGTGTCAGCTACATTCATGGTGATGATGGCTAGGGCATATCAGGAATAAGAATTAGGTGATATAATCAAATAAACTTTCACAATACCAAAGAATTTCTGTCTGTTCCAAGGTTCTGTGCATTTCTTGCACAAATGTGAGGCTTAGAAAAATCTCCAGTCCAGAAAAAATGAAACCCTAGGGAAGAAACAAAAGACAGGAAGGAAAGGAAATGACTGAGGAGGTTACCTGAAGCTAGCTCACACTAATTTCATTGCAGAAATCACCATTATTGCAGCAGTATGTATGTGTTATTTCACTTCCAACAAGTATTTCATTAGAATTGCAGAATTCTGCATAACTCAACTCCACAATTTCCACTTGATCATCTGTGGAAGAAGATTGCAAAAAGATATAATTTTGAGAGCCAGGATCCAACCTCATATCCAAGTACATTTGGACTGAGAATGCTTTCACTGAAAGAATTTTCTTCCATAGCAGTTGGTGTTCCATGTTGGCCTTCCCACCACATGCTTTTAAATTACATCTGGAGAAAGTTCCTTTACCCAAGAGCCTTTACGACAGGAGAAACGTGCTTAGTGTTGAGCTTGAGACTCTACACGTTGAGGCACATAGCATCATCTCCCCTCAAGCAGATGTGCGTAACGCACTTCCTCAATACATGCTGGCATCCAGACTCCAAGGTGAGAAGTTGGGCAGGTAGAGATCAAGATAATATTAGCCCTCAAGAACCAGATTCTATGGAATGACAGGAAGGACACACCATGAACTATGCCAGGAGATAGATGAAGCAGGAAGACTTGCGAAGCACCTTGGTGTCCTGTAGATGAGCAAAGGTTTTCCAGAGAAGGTGGCTCCAGGCTGAGAGAAGTTCTTTGAACATTACAGAAGCAAAAGCAACCAGGACAGAGTTTGGGAAAGGACACTTGTAAGGACTGATATTTAGTAGCCTGTGGATAGTGTGGTGGCTTCAATTAGCACAGCCCTCATAGGCTTGAGTGTTTCAGTGCTTGGCCCCCACTTGGATGAAGTGTTTGGGAAGAATTAGGAGGTGTGGCCTTGTTGGAGGGGGTGTGTCACTGCAGATGGTCTTTGGGGTTTCAAAAGCGATTCTCAACCTCTCTCTGTCTCTCTGTCTCTCTCTGTCTCTGTCTCTGTCTGTCTCCCTCTGTCTCCCTCTCTCTGTCTCTCTGTCTCTGTCTCTGTCTCTCTCTCTCTCTCTCTCTCTCTCTCTCTCTGCCTCATGGTTGTGACTAAGAATGTAAGTTCTCAGCTCCTGATCCTGTACCATGCCTTCCTGCTGCCATGTTATCCACCATGATCATCATGGACTTTACTCCTGGGACTTTGAGCCAGCCCCAAATTAAGTGTTTTCTTTTGTAAGTTGCCTTGGCTACTCTGTTTTGTCATGGGAATGGAAAATTACCCAAGACAGACCCTAAATCACAGAGATGTTGGAAATCAGAGACTGATGAATATATCAATACAGTGATGGAGAGAAGCCCTGCTCACTCAATATATGCTTAGCTTTACCATGGGCAAAGCTTTACCAGCACAAGGTTTGGAATATCATACCTAGATATCATTTGACTCTTTTTTTTTTTTTTCGTTTTTCGAGACAGGGTTTCTCTGTGTAGCTTTGCGCCTTTCCTGGGACTCGCTTGGTAGCCCAGGGTGGCCTCGAACTCACAGAGATCCACCTGACTCTGCCTCCCGAGTGCTGGGATTAAAGGCGTGCGCCACCACCGCCCGGCATTGACTCTTTTTCTTTAACTACAGTATCTTAGAGGTGGTGCTTGGAATCCTGAAGGAGAAACAGAAATTCTCCAGAGCACAGAACACATACTCACATTCAGTTGAATTCCAGATTCTGCAGATCATACAAGTTTCGCCAGGTCGTGCAGTGCATGTCTGACTCCCATTAACACACTCCCCGTTTTTGTAAGATGGACACAGTACACACTGTAAAGTGAGAGCTGCAAAGATAAAGACTGCTTAGAGGAGACGAGTGCCACACTGTCACTTCCCAACGAAAGCGTAGGTCACTGGACCTCTGGATTGCTTGGCTGCACCCATGTTTGCCTAACATATGTGCTCCAGTCGGCATGTCTTAATACCACAGACAAGGCAGGATGAAATGAGAAGAGATTTAACTTTCTTTCTACAGCCGATAAGGGATCAAGTTGCAGACAATACTTATCGATTTCAAAGCAGAGAACGAAGAGACACAGCTTCAGCAGGTTTTCCATTTCTCCTGAGCCGATTCTTGCAGCAGGCTGTGTTGGTGCCAGACAGCTGGTGATCAGAGACCACTCACAGAAAATACCAGCCTCTAGTGAATTTATAGTCCACTCAGGCAACAGCAATGGACAGTGGGTGCTCAGAAGCAGATCTCAATGTAAGCCCCTCCCACATTGGCAATACACCAAATCCCTCTTCTGTGACTTATTTATTTCCTTATTCCTCTCACTTTTCATTGCTTCGGGTGGCAGTAATGATATACATGACCTGTGAGGTAATCTTACCATCAGCAGCGCATGGTGGCCCCCTGTGCTTCCTCTTTCCATGCTACGAGCTCAAACTGCTCTGTTGATGCTGGAGATCAGAACTAGGAAAGGAAAAACCTTTGGAAGAAGGCTTTTATTGAGCCTGAGTTGCAGCTCGACCGGATGCTGTGGGATGGTCTGTATGTCAAATGTGTTGCTGATTGGTCAATAAATAAATCACTGATTGGCCCGTGGCCAGGCAGGAAGTATAGGCGGGACAAGGAGGAGAATAGAGCTGGGAAGTGGAAGGCTGAGTCAGAGAGACACTGCCAGCCGCCACGATGAGAAACAGCATGTGAAGATGCCGGTAAGCCATGAGCCATGTGGCAAGGTATAGATTAATGGAAATGGATTAATTTAAGCTGTAAGAACAGTTAGCAAGAAGCCTGCCACGGCCATACAGTTTGTAACCAATATAAGTCTCTGTGTTTACTTGGTTGGGTCTGAGTGGCTGTGGGACTGGCGGGTGTCAGAGATTTATTCTGACTGTGGGCCAGTCAGGAAAAATCAAGCTACAAATGGCACCCAACGTGTTGGCAAGGGTTTCCACCTAAAACCTGAGTAAAAAGATTCTAAAATGGAGCTAAAAACAGCTCCTAGTTGTCTCTTTCAAGCTAGCGGCAGCCTGCATGTTTGAGCTACTATGGCGGGTTCCTGGCGTGCATGCTCGACCTGCAGTATGGCAGGAATGAGGCCTCTGCAAGTGGCACATTAAGCTGTGTGGTGGATTTAGCCTTTGCTAGTACAAAACAAAAAAAAAAGCAAAAAAAAAAGAGGTTTCTGGGCTACACGCTGCTTTGATAGAAGCATAGACCCACTATTTCTGAGAGTTGATGGCTCCCAGAGCTGGCGGAAAACGTATCACTGCCATATTGGGAAGCTAAAGTGGGCAGAGCCAGCAGCGCCAGCACCCTTTCAGGCTTAGAAGGCTGCAGTTTAAAGCAATAGGCTCAAGCTAATATAAAAAAATAAGCCATGTAAAGATGGCTACCACACAGAGAATCTGGATTATGTTCTCTTTGATATTCGTAACTGAAGAAAAACATTTGATTGCAAAAGCTGTTGAGTTATGCCAAAATGTATATTTTAAAGGTACCTTGACTTCAAAATTTGGATGTAAGGATATGTTGCTTTGGAAAGGAGGCTATGCTTTTGTTTCCACAGAAAGCCAGAGGCTATGGATTTGTTCCAGATTAAGATACATCAGGTTTGACCAGCCAAGACCCCCTGAAAGGTCTCCGATGAAACCATGGCCCAGATGATCTAACATCCAGAACCGTTTCAAGGCAACTGGCTCAGACGATACACCCTCATGGACTACTCCATAATCCTAAAATATTCTTTGTGTCCCCATAAGATACAGTGCCCCCCTCCAGCAGGAAGTAGTAAGAGAAGCTATGCCCAAATTCCCAAATATACCAAGCTGACTTTGGAGATGTGTAAAGGTTAAAACCTTCCTTTTTAAGAAAAGAAAAGGGGAAGTGCTGTGGGATGGTCTGTATGTCAAATGTGTTGCTGATTGGTCAATGAATAAATCACTGATTGGTCAGTGGCCAGGCAGGAAGCATAGGCGGGACTAACAGAGAGGAGAATTGAGAGAACAGGAAGCTGGGTGAGAGAGACACTGCCAGCCGCCATGATGACAAGCCGCATGTGAAGATGCCGGTAAGCCACGAGCCATGTGGCAAGGTATAGATTTATAGAAATGGATTAATTTAAGCTGTAAGAACAGTTAGCAAGAAGTCTGCCACGGCCATACAGTTTGTAACCAATATAAGTCTCTGTGTTTACTTGGTCGGGTCTGAGTGGCTGTGGGACTGGCGGGTGAGAGAGATTTTTCCTGACTGTGGGCCAGTCAGGAAAACATTAGCTACAACCGGACGCCACTGAAGTGTGTCTCCTGGATGCTGGAAAGGTGAACACAACAGCCTGCTTGTCTAGACAGAAGCTGATGTGTGAAGGGTCTGTACACATCCCTCATCTAAAGGAAGGACCGACCATGTTATCACACAGTCCTTAGTACCAAACAGAGAGCTTCTATTGGAGCACCTCAGCAGGTACTTCTTGTCTGGCTGGGGAGCAAATAGCTGCTGGGCTAGAAGGGTTATCTGAGGTCATCTCTGCTTTGTAAGGCCATGCGGGCTGCCTGAGCACATCCTTGATGGTGGCTGTAGTGATCCTCTGCAGTGACTGTAGAGAGTCCCACACAACCAGGCTGCCATGAGAGAGAGTCTGGTCAGTTGCTGGCCAAAGGGCTACTTGACTGTTACTTTCCCTGCTCAAAGTTGTCATGCACCAGGGAAGGGCCTGTTTAATGGCCTGCTGTGGAATGTTGTGATCATGCACAGAAAGCATTGGATGGTGTTAACAATAAAGAGCTGCCAGAATCTTAACATAGAATGTATATTTCTAATAGCATTAAATGTGCTTTATAATATAATGTTATTATATTATATATTGATATATTACATACCAAACATACACATACATTTGATCTGAGGTCTTACTATGTAATCCTGACTGGCTTGGCGTGCTATGTAGACCAGAATGGCCTCGAACTCACACAAATCTGCCTGCCATAAAAAGATACTCAAAGTGTTCAAAAATCAGTTTCATTTTTCTATTGAGTCCCACATTGGTCAAATGCCCTCATCTCATTCGTTGCTAAATTATTTCAATTACAGAAGGAATTAATAAGTTTACTGTCACGTGCAAGTGTGTTCTAGGCTCTATTGTAAAGTTTCTGCTTTAGAACTGGTATTATGTATTTATCTGAGGAGTCAAGTTCATGTTAGAGGTAAACTATTTATACTTTACAGTTGGTGTATCATAGATGTTCATTGATACTAAGTTGGTCATTATTTCTATATTTTGTCTGTGAAGAGACATAAAAAATTATTTTATTTTTCCTATTTTATCTTTGCTGTGTGCAGGAATGCAGGGTTTTTGGTCCTTCTTATAGATGACACTTGCCGCATACACTAATGTATTCCAGTGAGACCTGCTGTTCTCTCAGACAACAGCCACATGGACATTCCAGTCCCTGCTCTGGCACATCACTCATTGGCTTTCCTAGAATTGTGGGAATGTTCAGAAAGAGATTTTTTTTAGTGACATAATAGTAACGTTAGTTTTTAATTTAAAAATAAAGCCTGAGAATTTCTCACATACTGACTCTATTTACATGATTTTCATCCTTCGTCTTCCTCTTCCAACTCCTCTGGTGTCCCCCTCTCCATTTCCCTTCAAATTCACAAACCCTTATTTTTAAATTAGTGTTGTGATATATACTCATGTATATTTGTATGTATATATGTGTTTATATTTATGCATGCATATATGAATGTATGACTGTATGAATGTATGTATATATATGTGTGTATGATGTATGAATGTATTATAAAAGTATGCGTGTATGTTCATATGTTCATATGTATAGCCTGGTGACTCCATTTAGTTTTGCTTGTATGCATTTGTATTAAACGTTGTCCACTTGGGACTGGATGACCTCTCATGGGGCTCAAATATGCAGGTTCTCCCTTTCTCCTCAGACACAGTTGCCTGGAGCTCTTTGTCTAGTGGTGGATCCTTGAGAAGTTTTCTCCATTCCCATTGGTATGTCACTGTTGTCGTTGTACAGGTCTTGCTGAGGCAACCCTACTCCTGAGATTTCGTGGGTACATCTTCCCTGTCACATAGAGGGAAGATAACCTGTTGGAGCAGATGTTCTGGTCCTCTACTCCTACCATCTTTGGGTACCCTCTTGTGTGATGATTCCTCTGTTTTAGGAATAGGTATTGCATTGCAGGTGCATCAGCTGTGGGTGAGAACCCAATGGTCCTTTGCTCTCTGTATTTTGGCCAGCTTCTAGGCAGGCACTCACTAAACAAGAAGAGTGCAAGTGTATGCATCTCACCAAGTTGCTTGCTGCATCGCTCCAGCTCGCTCCGCACCCCGGACAAAGGAAGGGACACCAGTAGTTTAGATAGATGCCCAAGGACCCCAGTCACAACACAGGATAGATGGTGTCACCTAGGGGAGAGAGGCCCAGTGTTCTGAGCTTACCCAGGACACAAGGAACACACACTGTCTTCAGCTAAATGCTTCATGCCTTGCCTCATGCAGGGGCACAGCCTGAGCCAGGACCTGATGCTGGAGCAGTCTCACATGTGTCTGGGACCTTGACCATAAGGGTGGAGGTTGGATGACTTCATCTTTTTGGCTCTTTTTTGAGCATTCACTAAAGGATATTTTAGATAAAACACAAATAATAAAAATTGATATTTTTATGCATCACTAACATACTCTTTTGAGTCTTGGGCAAAAGATTCCCAGCCCCACTTTCTCCTGTTCTCACTGATATAACCAGGGTGGAGATGCTGCCAGAGTGAATTTTATTAAGATATAAGCTAGTCTAAGTCAAACCAGGTGTCTGAGACGTTTTCACTGGGCCTCAAAGGACAATTGACATTCAATGTGTACAATCTGTGCTTCTATAAGATTAAGT